TTTGACATGTTTGTAGATTTGATTAAATCTAGAATCTAGGTCTAGGTATCGGTATCGGTACCGATACCGATACCAGTATCGGTAAAAGTTAACCGATACCAATGCAGTTTATTGGAAGTGGCTTTACTGTAACTTGCCATTTCTGTTCACCTAATATTTTAGTTTTGTGATCATTTCTATTCATATATTTTACTTTTTATCTACCTCACAGTCTTTCCTGTTCAAAGCAGAGAAGAAAATAAAACCTGTATTCCAATTCATAGCATTTTTTTGTGTGGTAGGAGTATCGGTATCGGTAATCCGTATTGGCGAGTACTTAGATCCAAGTATCAGTATCGTATCAGTTTGGAAAAAAGTGGTATCACTGCATCCCTACTAAAAATGTCTTAGTGCTGCCCCCTGTGGGTGGAACTGTGGCTACTGCATTTTAAATTTATGACTGACTGGGGCTGGTTCAATTTCACGTTATCGGTACAGTCTCCTCCCACTTAGGGATGGGTACCGAATTCGGTACTTTTAAGGTACCGACCGAATTCCATAGTACCGACCGAGCACCGATTCACGTAATTTCAAACGGTGCCTCGTTTCGGTACCCGTCCATCATAACGAGAACTTGCCAAGACAGTTGCGCATGCGCAAGAGCGTTTTGTCGTTGCTTGCTGTGAACCAGTTGTAAACAGAGCAGCATGGTAGAGAGAACGCAGGCTAAAGCTTGGGTCCACTTCACTAAATGTGATGGGTAACTGGATGATGAAACCAGCGACAACTATCTAAGTGAGACATCCTCATCTTAATCTGCTCCGGTAGGTAAATATAATTGGCTTGATATGTTAGCTTCCGTTTCGCTAATGGTGCGTTCGCTTTCTCCTCGGAACGCCGAAATTCCGACTAGAACAACATGAACATGCTCTAAAGTTTGGCTTCACTTTACTAAATGTGACGGGTGAAGACGAAACCAGTGACGATCTAAGTGTGAGGCATCGTTTCAATCTGCTCCAGCAGCTAAATAAACTGTTTAAGATATCGTTAGCTTGATATGTTAGCTTCCATTGCTACCATTGTTATCAGCTAATGGTGCATTCGCTTTCTCCTCGGAAATTCTAGCTTCCCAGTAGGAAAAATCAAATGAAAAAGGACGGCAAAAGGAATAAAGATACACAGTAAATTTAGTTCACAGTAAAGATGTTTGCTTCAGTTTAATTATCAGCTTATAAAACTACAAGGACGATGTTAAAATACAAACAGTTGAATGTTATCTATTGTGATATTTATCAAATATTGTTATATATTGAGAAAAATATATATTTAATTATAAAAGAGAATTAAAATAATAAACACTCAAAAGTATCGAAAATTGGTACCGTTAGGTACCGGTATCGATTCGTAGGTACCGGTAATTAGTACCGGATCGATTCAAATGTCAAAGGTACCCATCCCTACTCCCACTCCCTCCCGGGATGGAAATTCCCCACACTTGGCCATGCCACTCCGTGCCTCCTGGCAACGCCCACTTTCATAGTGTTTTTCAAATCTTAACTAGGGGTGGAGTTACATTTTCTGATGGTGTGCAGTCCCTCTTTATGTGGAAATAAGCCCCTCCCCTCATTTTCTGTCCACTCTCCTGCCAGCATCTCCGATGATGCGTTTGAGTGTAAATGGGAAGGAAACATGATTCTCTCCTTTCTCTGAGTAGGCTTTTTTTTTACACAAATCCAAACAGGACATCCATCACCATCACACACTGGTTTATACAAACATGATGGTTATACTTGATACGGAGAAATGCTGCAATGTGTTAGCAAACACTTTTATTTATACCAGTTGGAGATCTTACTTCCAGTGATGTAAACTGGTTTTATCTTGTGCTGTGGAAATAAGCCATGGCCAGGGTATGTGCTACGATTGACTCTCAGCTACATCCACATTAACCTGCTTTAGTGGCCATCGTGAAACGGTTTGAAATCAAAGGTTGATCAGTTAAAGATGAATAGCCAATCAGGACTTTCTGAAACCTTGGTGGTTCTTGAGACCAACATCACAGACAAAAGAACAGTCATGAGGCACGAAACGATCAGCGGCCTTTTGGTGGAGGATGATGAAAACCAAACAAATAAAAAGAAATAAAACAAAAAGGAAATCATTTGCCTCTCCTTTAATGTCTCCCTCTCTCACTAGTCTCCTTCAGCTCTCTCTGAAATGATGCTAATACAAGAGCTTTACTCTGGTCGCAGCAAGTCCTTACATTTTCTGTCCTGGACCAAGTTTATCGGAGCTCTCCCAGTAAAGAGCATGTCTCCTGCAGCTCTCGCCTCCTTCAGTAAGAGCAATGAGGCTGAACAGAGCCATAACGTTTGTAGTCAAATAAAAGTAATCAGCGGAAAACGAATGAAAATGTTTCATAACATTAAAGGGAAATGTGCTCAGGTAATAATTCTTTATGGATTCTCGACATATTTCTAAATGATCCACAGCCGTTATGTCCGTTTCTGTAAGGGTTATGAGGACGTAGTTCTAGAAATATAGTCTTGTAATGTCTACAGATGAGTAAAGCAGCAGTATGGTTTCCAACACTTTGACTCGCACGCACGCACGCACGCACGCACGCACGCACGCACGCACGCACGCACGCACGCACGCACGCACGCAAGCACGCACGCACGCACGCACGCACGCACGCACGCACGCAAGCACACACACACACACACACACACACACACACACACACACACAGATCTATCTTTCTTTCCCCGTCCCCCTCTGTCTCCTTCAGTCCCTCACAAATATCTTTCTCCTTTGTTCTGAAACAAACTGCAGTCCAGAATAGACGTCCCCTTTCATTTGCACCAGCGTAATGTCCTGTTTTTATTGTTTATTTGGAGCAATAAGTGTTATATTATAACTTGAGTTAATGATATTAATCCTACTACGAGTACAAAAATAACTACTACTAGTAATAGTATTATGGTTTAAATGTTTAATTAGCATGTCAGTCATTCGGTAGAGCACGTTTTATGAATGAATGGCTGCTTAAATGCGACGTTTCTCATCAGCATCTTTTGTTCTTATTTGCTTGATGTAAATTTGATCACTTTCATATCTGAATGCCTTAAAGGCAAAAAGAAACATTTAGGCTTAGTCCAAACGTAGCCGTTTTTTCCCCCCGAAAAAACGAATATCCGCCCCTCCAAAAACTTGCATCCACACCACCTCGTTTAAAAAACAAACTCTGTCCACACGTACCCGGATAAATACGTTGTTATGGACATGCCAGACCTGTAGGCGGCAGTACTTCCCCCGTTCTTAACATCGTCCTTCGTCTGTGGTCTTCCGCAAGGAGCAGTAATTCCGCTTGCAAAAACAAACAAGCAGAAAGCGCTTGGACAATTGATAAAGCGAGCGCAGCTCTGAGGGCATCCATGCTGTCGGCTAGTGTAAACACAGGTCGCACACGTGATGTCAGCATTTTTTTGTCGCGGAAAGTGACGTTGCGGACCTTAAAACTCCGGTTTTGTCTGTCCACACGCAGACACCCAAAACGGAGAAAACGCAGATCTTCACTTTGGCCGGAGTTTTTAAAAAGATCCGTTTTCGTGTGGATGACAGGCCAAAACGTAGAAAAATATCTACGTTTTGGCAGATCCCCGGCTACGTGTGGACAGGGCCTTAGATGGTATTTTTCCTTTGTGTAAGTTAAGGAACATCTATTAATTTCATATAATGGTAAATGGCCTGTATTTGATATAGCGCCTTCTAGAGTCCTGGAACCCCCCAAGGTGCTTTACAACACAACCAGTCATTCACCCATTCACACACTGGTGGGGATGAGCTACGATGTAGCCACAGCTGCCCTGAGGCGCACTGACAGAGGTGAGGCTGCCGAGCACAGGCGCCACCGGTCCCTCTGACCACCACCAGCAGGCAATGTGGGTTTAAGTGTCTTGCCCAAGGACACAACGACGGCGACAAACTGAGCGGGGCTCGAACCTGCAACCTTCCGATTACAGGTTTTACATGTTTATTAGAATGTTTTGGGTTTACTTAAGATACGTTCACTGCATGTTTAACGAAGACATCAAGACTGAAGCAGAATGTGAGAGGGTTCAGACTGGATCCTGGAACTGTTCCTGAGTAGAAAATAAAGTTTTATAAATCAGAACTTTATTAGACTGCTGTGAGTCACACCTGGAGGAATGACAGAAGTGTTTAGGGAGGAGTTTACTGAGTTTATTTATTGTTTGTTAGCAGAAAATCCTTTTTTTTATAGCACCACCTTTATCTTTACGTTAAAGAGACTTGGGCTGCTCAGGAAAGCCAGTTGCTTTAGGACTTTTAGCCTAACCCAAAGCAAAGGTGGAGGAGAAACAGGAGATGAACACACAATAGTAAACTTATTTTTCTTGGAGGACATCTTCACCAGTTTCTACCAACAGTCTAGGATTGTTGAAGAAAGAACACGGTTCCCTGAGATAAGCCATGGCATCAATTGAGGATCTTTATCAAGACCCTGAGGGGGAGAGGGGAGTTCCAGTTCAAATGTGGATGATAAATCAGCTGAAAACCAGTAACAGAAGCTCGATGCACCGGGTGGGACCATGCGGTTCTGATCTGGTGCAACTAAACCAGTCAGGTTATTATTCCTCCATGAAGGTTATCACTGGTGGAGACTTAAGGTCCATATATCTGCACTGATCTGATGCATTCACCAGAAAATGACGGACGCTGAAGTCCACCACACTTCATCAGATCTACGAAAATCACTTTTATGTGTTTCCAATGAGTCCCAGAAGCTGTTATTCTAACTCTTTCATGTGTATCGATGGAGCAAAAGAGAGAACAGCAACCCAAATTCCCCCCCCCCCCCCCCCCAAAACTTTTCACTGAAAGCTGATTCAAACACCTGACACTTTTGCTGACCAACCTGGGACCACTGAAACTGCTGGAAACCCACACATTACATCTCCCCACAGATCGCTGTGTGTTGTTTTTATGCTCTGACTGACCTGGAGTGCAGCTCTGTGCTGCCGTTATTGTATTTGCTGCCTCGCTCCCACATGCCGTAGTCAGGCACCCTGTAGGCTCTCTCCACGCAGAACACCAGGTTCTGGATGAAGGAAACCTGCAGACAGACACAAACACATGCATCAGACAGAGGAATGGTCCAGGAAGAAGGGAACTGATACAGCAGCTAAACGTCAGCAAGGGCAGGAACACCAGGAGGCAGGTAGGCATGCACACACACACTGAACAGATTCAAAAACACACATGGACACACACTAATGAATAACCTTTACTATTGATCTGAGGTGAAGCAGGCGACCAAAGAGGACAGCAAAGCGGATTTCTCATCAGCACTCAAGGTGAAACTCTCCCTGCAGCTACAGACACGCTATCAATAAGTAGATATGTTGTATGTGGCAGCACACGCATGAAGAAAGAACCACCGCTCAAAGAAAACACACACACACACACCGTTTTCAAGTTGAAGTCAAAAGTGACACGACAAAGAAAACAGAAAAAAGAGTCCATGTTAAAGCTTCATGTCTTTAATTATATCTTAACTGTTATTCCCAACAAATAAGCCTTTCATTTATAATAAAATCATCTAATGTTGAGGTGTGATGGAGTTGAAATGCACATTATGCATCTCATGCATTACTTCAAGAGCTTGTTTCATCTGTTTGAAATGTGAACGATTGGTTGAGAACTAATCTCAGCTAACTGTCCAGATTTTAGCTCCAAATCCTTAAAGCTGATGGACTTTTACTCATTTTACGCTATTTAACTTCCATTAGCAGTGGCAGCCATCTTCATCTGACTCCAAAGGTAATCACGTGCAGATGTTCATCAATTAAGGACTTTACCAGGTTCATTAAAGAGCCTGGATTATGGGTTGAAGATTATTTTTACTATAATAACTTGTCCTCCTGAGGCATCCTCCTGGACGCCTCCCTGGTGAGGTTTGTCGGGCACGTCCAACCAGGAGGAGGCCTAAAGGTAGACCCAGGACACGGTGGAGGGACTATGTCTCTCACCTGGCCAGGGAACGCCTTGGGATTCCCCCAGAGGAGCTGGCCCAAGTGGCTGGGGTGAGGGAAGTCTGGGCCTCTCGCCTTAGGCTGCTGACCCCGCGACCCGACCCTGGATAAGCGGATAAGTGGACGGACGGATGGATGGATGGATGGATAATTTATCCTGGATATCTGTAAATGTGACAGTTTTTTCTATTTTTGTGTTTTCTAAGGTCAGCGTCTGTGGTGGCCATCACGCTGACTGAAACAGGTAATTATGTAGATGTAGTTCACTTATCCTTCCAACACATCTGCAGTGGACTCTTAGCCTGGCACGTCAGACTAAGCAAATATGTTATTAATAACGCTCCATTGACTGTTCTTGTCATGGGGCGGGTTCTACCGTTGCCTTTAAAACGATCTCTGCACGCTACTGAACAACCAAATACGTGACATACTCACTGCAACAGATGTAAACGAGGCAGTCGGCTGTTGAAGAATGTGTAGATGCATCCTTTTTCTAAATAGAGGACGTAAATACATCTATCTGCTCCTGATTCTAATAAAGCCCAAGTCCAGATAGTCCAAAATTGATGTAAAAGCTGTTTCAAATTAGCTGTCGCTATCTTGTTCCACTCCGTTGCATCGACCCACCCACCAGACAAAAAAAGGCCCTGATTGGCCCACAAAGTGCAGATAGAGCACTACGATTGGCCCACCATTATTGACCAGTCACAGCACTCTATCAGTTTGAAACTGCATGGTGGCGCAGTGGTTAGCACTGTTGCCTCGCAGCACAAAGGTTGCAGGTTCGAAACTCGGCCGCGGCCTTTCTGCGTGGAGTTGCGTGTTCTCCCCATGCATGCGTGGGTTTCCTCCGGGTTCTCCGGTTTCCCCCACAGATCACAACATACCCTGTAGGTTATAAACTGTAAGTCGCTTTGGATAAAAGCATCTGCTAAATAAATAAACATAAACATGAAACACCTCTAGAGAGCTGTGATTGGCCAGCCAGAATGCTGCTAGGTGCTGCAGAGGTTCCAATGGAGCATTCCTAGACCAAACTTTGCAAAGCAAGAATTTGGTCTAGTTCACTAGGCGAGCGGACTCCAGTATAAACGGATGCCTTGTGACTCATTCTCTGTGAGGAAAAGCTGAGTCCAAGAATTTGAAGTGACAGTGTGACGTAGATCCGTCAGACTTTTCACATCCTTGAGTTTTACTGTCTAGTTTCTATCAGAAGCTAATGCAGGAGCTAGGTGTAGGAGACTATTTTCATGTTCAGCCTGCCTGAAAAACACATAGCGACCGATCAAATTTAAAAAATAACAAGAAATCAACAGTTTCTCAGTGAACTTGTTCATTAGACTAAAATACTTCCAGTAGTTCATGAGATATTTTGAGAAACTGCACAAAAAGCCGTCAGCCACCGATTAGGAAAAGCAACTGAAAGTAGCAGCACGTGTGTGTTTGACCGATGGGAGATTTTATCTGAGATGAGAAAATGCAGCAAGATGGAGGGATGAGAGAGGGCAGGAAAAGGGAGCGCAGCAGATTAGTTGGTAGAAGACAAGAAGAGTTTCTGCTGCTGGATCCTTTGTTGGGGATTTTATGAGCCGAGTGTTTAACAAGGGGAGCTCTTTAGTATCTTGATGGTATCTTAATGAATGTTACTGCCCACTGGCCTAACACGTCTCTGTCTCTGTCGCTAGACGACACCCAGTTTGTCTTCTCTGCACGGTAAATTGTGAACATGGGCAGATTTGTAAAAGACATACACTTCTGTTACCCGGGCACCCTTGCACTACCTCAGAAAGAAGAAACAGAGAGAGAAGGAGCGAGAAAAGGGTGCACGCAAAAGCTAATGAGTCACTCGATTTCATGCTGCATGAGACTGAAAATGACATCTGCTGGGAGGTTGATGGTGCATCTTCTCAGAGGACACGCAGAGCCCTTCTGTACCATTCTGAGAAGGAAGGAGAAACGAAATACTGCAATGCAGCTTCCAGCTCAGCCGGGTGAACGCCAGCGGACTTCACAAGCAGTGACAGGCTACAACAAGCTAATAAATACGGCACTAATGTGATTAGTCTAAATGAAAAACATTTCAAACAGCGCTCACTGAGAGCACCGGTCACAAATGCTCCTGCTCAGTGGATGTGATGTCTGCTGAAACGAGGTCTGGAGCACAGGCTGCTTCAGTCTGAATTATGCAATCCAGTAAAACGTGTTTAGCCATGCAGATCCATCTGCTGCACAGATGGGACTGCCCTTAGAAGAGGAAGGAAACTGCTTCGTTAATTTGTGTTGTCAGTGGTTAGAAACAGAGAAAACTGAGAGGTTGTTGGGTGTGTGTGTGTGTGTGTGTGTGTGTGTGTGTGTGTGTGTGTGTGTGTGAGGTGTCTGTAAACAAAGTGAAGGCTGCATGCACTAATTGCTTGGTGTTATTATATTATACCATGTCCCTACTTTCTACAGATAAGCTCAATTTAGTAAACAAATGGGCTTCTCTACCGGGGGCGCCGCTTCCTCTGCATATGGCTGTGAATGAGCAGGCTGTGAACGCTAACAGAATTAATGATGTTTCTGCTGCTCCTGGAGGCCACGCAGTAAAAAATGAATAAAATAAAAAACGTGTGTAAGCTTAACAACCAACGTGGTTTATTGGGAGCTGGAGAGGAAGAGGAATAAACTGACACTGACTGGTAACAGCTCTTTATTACGACTGGCTTGGTACGCTGCCAAATAAAACGTCACCAGTCCAGTTCCCAGGGGCACGTTCAGGCTTCCGTATGGAGATCATTTCAATGTTTCACTGCTGAAGTCTACTGGGCGGCTCGGTGATCTTATAAATGTGAGCAGAGCCATAAAAGTGAGCTACGGTCTCCTGATCCGGCATTAGTGTCAGCTCTAGAATATCTGGAGAGGATTTAGCCCACGTCTAACAGCCGCTACCAAAACCGCCGGCCTCACCATTTAGCAGGTGGCACTGCACAAATTTAACATTTACACGTCTCAGTGGGTGCCGTCGTTTTGAGTTGAAAACAGATTTACTGTCGCTTTTACCACACGTGCTCTCATGTGTGCTTGCCGACTTATAAACTACACAATGTAGGACGCACAAAATATCACTGGAGAGTAAAATACGGCGGCAGATGAATATTATAGCAGCTTGTGTTTGTCAACACTGGAATGTAAAGGGAGCAGAGAATTAAAGCATTTCACTGGAAGAAGATGATGGAGATAAAGCTCCACCAGTATTCCTGACCCTAACCCATACCCGTTTATGCATCAAGTGCATTTATAAGCAGCGTGTGAGCTGACCAAAGCACCTCACAGGTTGCAGTAATTATACTAGACCAACAAGCCATGACAACAAAGAATACAACCTTGAAGATAAAACAAAGGACTTCCAATCATTAAAATTGTCAGTGAAACCAGATAAAAATACTAATAAAACAACAAAAGGCTAAAATATTGCATAGTGGAGATGCATGAATCAGTAAAACTGATGAAAAAGTTAAAATGTAAAAAATAACCCAGTTTATGATTTAAAAGCAAGATCATAAACGTGGATTTTAAAAGTATCCACGAGGAAGTGTTAAAGCCATGTCTGAACAAAGCAATGGGAGTTTCTTGCACATGTCCTACAGCCTCCTTGCCCTTTGACCCTCTACATCCATCCAATGTCTCCATCTGGTGCCTATCTCCAACTGTCTCCGGGCATGCAGGCGGGGTACACCCTGGACAGATTTCCAGTCCATTGCAGGGCAACGCAGACACACAAAGGACACACAACCAAGCGCGCGCACACACACACACACACACACACACACACACACACACACACACACACACACACACACACACACACACACACACACACCTAAGGACAATTTGGAGACCAATGAACCTCACAGTCATGTTTTTGGACTGTGGGAGGAAGCCGGAGCACCCGAAGAGAACCCACACATGCACAGGGAGAACATGCTAACTCCACTCAGATTTGAACCCAGGACCTTCTTGCTACAAGGCAACAGCGCTAACCACTGCATCATTGTGCAGCCCCTTGAATTACTAATTTAACTAAATTGAACTTAGTTGGAATTTCATTTTCAAACTCTACTTTTTTTTCTCATTCTTTAAATCCTCTTTGGTTTGATTGCTGCTGTAATAATTTAATATTTTGTTCTTGAGTAAAATAAAGAAACATGCTACATCATCACACATCTCTTGCATCAACAAGCAACCTCTGAGTTCACACACACACACACACACGGATGGTACACATGACATTTAGAACTGAACTGACTCCCGTATAAAGTGCAAATATGAACAATCCAGATTTTTTTTAAACTCATAGAGGCTCCAGTTCTTCTGATGTATGAGCAAACCATGCTGGCAATCAGCTTGTAATGAGTGTGCACTTTTTCCCACTTTGTTGAGCATTTGGCGAAACACAATTCAAACACTGAGCTGAGTCCTACAACTGAACCGAGTAAACTACTGATGTCACAGCATTGTGCAAAGGTGAGGGCCTCAATAAGGAACAGGAGGGGGTTACCAATGAGCACACCACAGGGACCAAAGTGATGTTTTTGAGCTAAACTTTGGGAAAAGGTGGTGCTGTGTACTGTCCTCAATATAAAAAGTGTACACCCACATCCCCCATGAGTGAGAATCAGCACTGAAGGCGTCTCATTCTGTTCAGACGCTGCAAAGTGCAATACTTTTACTTATTTGGCCTTTAAACACATTCCTTAACTCAGTAACTGGCATAATTGAAAATGTGGAATTGTACAGTACTTAAAAAAACATACTCAAGTAAAAGTTAAAGTACAGACTTTCAAAACAACTTAAAAAGTATAACATACACACAAAAAAACTACTCAATTACAATAAAGCAAGTAAATGTAATTTGTTACTTTCCATCTCTGGTTGTTTAGTATTTAGGTCTTTTTTACAAGTACAAGTACAAAGAAACAGACGCAGTACTGGGCTGATACTGATGCTGGTATTGGTATCGGTGCATCCATAGTATTTATTCTGAAATGTTTGACAACTGAATGAGAAAATGTTTAATGAAACCCTAGATTACCCATTTTTATCAGCCTGATGTGGCTTCTGTTTGGTCCTATAGCACTAGTCAGAGTATTTAGGATATAAATCACTGTAGAGATGGCCTCTGATGTCTGTTTGGTGTCTTATTTACCTCATCAGTGTTGTAAATGATCTGCAGACCAGAGCTGATCATCTCCACCAGGTACAGCAGGAACAGAGAAACTGCATCGATCTGAAGGGATGGTGGAAGAATGGGGAGAGAGAAGTTAGGGGTGTCATTAAAGAAGGTGGCGGTCATTTGCACACTATGTGTAATTCTCAAATTTATCAGTTCAGCCATAGTCGAGTTCCTGCGCGCTGTAAAAGCCGAGGCGTAAGCTTTATGTTAGACATTAGGCCCGTGGCGTCGGGCTGCTAACATTCATAAAGTTATAGTGAAAGAATAACAGCCAAGGACGGGAAAGGCTTTCCATCAGACCAACCCTGTTGATTTCTGAGTGTGTGATTGTCACAGCCAACTAACTTTGCAGCTGCCTTTTGATTTGCGATCTCTGGCTCTCTTGATGCATCGGCCATCTTTCACCAGTCTCCATCCAAATGCAACACCAAACTGACCTCTGTCGATACCATTGGCAGAAGAATAAACTGTTTTACAGCTGATTTAATGCACGCCCACTTCTCAAGGGAAAGCCATTTCTCCAACTGCTAGGTTTGTTTCATTTTATTTAAATCAAAGCACAGTATCTTGATTCCTGACAGGCCCTCCCGGTTCTACATGGAATTACTCCCCGGGCGAGGCCCCCTTTGAGCGTCCCCCCAACCGCCCCCACCACCACCACCACACCACCTGCACGAACACACACGTTTTCTACAAACAGGCATGTTTTATTAGAACGTCTATTGAACATTCATTTTTCTAAGTTGCACATATTTACATTAATTACTATGAAGTTGTCAGAATGTAAAGCAATATACATTATATACTGTATCAAAATATATAGAATCAAATATACAAAAACAACTAAACTAACTAAATATTAAGAATATATGCACATAATATATAATAAATATTCTAAATAGCAAAAATATTTCACACATAACAAACTAAAGATAATCACTACTGCATTGCACTTAGAATAGAAAACACAAACTAAAATTAAAACCTAACCTTGATGCAAAGTCATCAATAATGTCATCATATGAAATCTGCTCCCCCTACTGAGTGATTGATACGAATCAGAGCCAGGTTAGTGAGCCACCCCTGAAACATAGGTGACCTCAGGTATGACTTGATCAAGTTTTGAAAAGCTCCTCTCAGCTTGAGCCACAGTGACTGGCAGAGCAGTCCAAAAGTTGGGGTAGATCTCCAATAGATCTCATGATCCATAATATTTTACAATTGCCTCTGAAATTGTAATTTAAACTGACATAAAAAAACTGTAGACTACCAAAAATGCCAACTTTTACAGAACAAACCAGGTAAAAAATAATCAGTGCAGCCATCTGCAATAAATAAACATGATAGTTAGTGGTGACTGGGGAGTTTTCTTCTGCTTGTAGAGTTGTTTTATGTATTATTATGTGAACATGATCAACATGTGTTTGTTGTTGTTCAGGCAGGCCACAGGCTGCAGCGAGCATTTAACAAATCCTAGTTTGAATCAGTAAAAAACGATTCAAGGAATTTATTCGAACCATTTGGATATTCGTTTCAGTATTTCAGCCCTATTAGCTCTGTTAGCAACTAGTTGACCGAATTTAACCATTAAAATCCCAGTTAACTGGTTCAAAAAATTGAAAACATTCATCATGAGAGCGAACATACCTTTATTTTTCTCCTTTTTTTTTTTTTTTTATTCCTGAATCGGGCACCTGTTGGTTTTAGCCTTTTTATGTTCATCTCTTCTGTTTGGCTCTTGACTCATTCAGTTTCCTTTAGTCAGGACTAAACAATTTGACCTTGATGGGGGGGGGGGGGGGGGTGACCACAAAATCGTTTTGTTTTTCCTTCTTTTATTCAGCCATTTCACACAATTCAGAAACACCTGAAAGAATGATAGGCCTGTGTTTATGATATTATGAATGAAATGTGGAAGAACATCAAGATGTGATCGACTTTAGCCATGTTAATACAGTTGATTCAGCCCCTACCCGCTCATTTCATTTGGACCCACCCAGAGGTGAATTCCCCCGCCGCACCCCTCCCCTTCCTCTTCTTCATGCACACACGGTGCAAGGAGCGCCTGCAGCTGCAGGGGGCGCCAACTTGCTATTTCCAATCCAGACACTGTCATATGACAGATAATAGAAAACCTCGGTGCAGCGCAGATTTCCATTTTTTTTTTTTTTTACTCAGCGCTTGTGCGCCCCTTTTGTGTCATGAAAAAATGCCGCCCCGGGCAACTGCCCTGTCTGCCCGTGCCTAAAACCGCTACTGCTGACAGGCCAACTGCAAGACGTAACCTCTGCAGCAAGTTCTCAGTCTATTCTTAGGAGTGAAACAACACTATAGCAGATGTCTGCAAGGTATCTACTCAGATAGATGCACAGACCACCTCAACTTGCTCTTTGCAATGCAAAGAAGTGGCAATTTATCTCTGAGCCCCTCCCTCACCCCGACCCTTCACAGTCAATCACCCCCATCATGGTGGAAGGGTTTCAGTAACAAAAAGGACCCTAGAAGCTCTCTGGGGCAGTTTCTGTTGCCCTTGTATGGTCTCCAATGTTAAATTGGTTCTGGGTGAGAGACCAGACAAAGCGTGATTTAGAAACTCTTCTGATGACTTTAACTCCGTAGAACTAAGAAACCATGTCACAATGGAGTGAGGCCTTAGGAAAAGACTCTTGAGCAAGCTCCATGTGGCCTGAATGCAGTGGTGGATTTAGCAATTTGGGGGCCCAAAGCAAACACAGACATGGGGCCCCTTTACACAAAATTTTCTACAATCTTACATTTAAGTAGATTTGCAAAACTCTCCCCTCTTCTGACATGAGTTATTTTCCCTGTTTATTAGTCCTCCTCTTTTTCCTGTCTTTGCCTCCCTTTGAGTGCTTTCAATATTTGCTCTGCTTTCTTCTTCTTCTCAGTGCTCCTGTGCCTTTGACTTTGTTTATTTTTGTCTATTTTCCATTTTGGTCCATGTTTTCCTCCCTTTAAACATTTTCCATTGTCTTTCCTTTCTGCTTCCTTTTGATGTTTACAGCGAAAAACAACGTCACTTTCAGAAGGGAAGATAAAAGCATTTTTGAAGCAAGCTGCATCTTTCTCTTATTGGAGCCACTAGGATAACTTCATGTCATGCTTATTGTTTTGACTACTACTTCGAGTTTGTTACGAACGCTCCCGTCTCTCTTCTTATTCTTCTGCTTTCTCTTCTTCTTCCTATTTGTGGTCTTATGGCACTTGGTAAACAATTTGGTGCATTACTGCCACCAACTGGATTGGAGTGGAATGACTACCAATCACTTCCTGTTTGTGCATCAGCGTCTTAAAGGAATCGTCCATTAACAGAGGGGTGCCAGCAGTCAGGGCTGGGGGCCCCCAACATAAGGGGGCCCCAGGCGGCCGCCGACCTATGCCTAATGGTACAACTGCCACTGCCTGAATGTCACTCACGGGATCAGGCCAAAGCACAGCTAAAACAAGCTACATAGAAACAACCTTCTCTAAACACCTACAGGAGGAACCATAAGGAACCGCTGCTTTTTGGATTCAGTGAGGTGGACCAATAGGTGATTAATGCTAGATGAGTTAAACCATTGCTACTAGGAATGCTTGATATTGGCTGTTTTACTGATATCCGATGTCTGACTCTTAATATCTGATACTGATATAAACTGATACTGATAAATGTTGTGTCCCCCTCTCATGAAAAGACACAGTAAAACATTTTAGGTGGCTAACATCACATATCACCCATCATGCATGTTTAATGTCCTGTGCAAAATGACAAATAGTTAAATTTAAGTTAGTAACAGGAAAAGTGCCATATTTATTTAGTCTCCAACAGCAGCTGAATCTCATTCTCCTTATGTATGACGCTAAGATGTGTTTATTAGCTAGTAATGTATTTTTTCTTTTTCTGTCTATTGCAGCTATGGTAGTAGACTAGAATAGAATATAATAGACTTTATTGATCCCACAGTGGGGAAATTCACTTGTTACAGCAGCACCAACACTTAAGAGAATAATTCAAAGACAAATAACAAAGGTACATGTATTTATACACATAGGCGGGAATCTAGTATTGTAACCTTCAACCACTAAAAACCACAAATAAATAATGAAATACTTGGGTTCCAGAACTATGCAGCATACTGCAAGAGACACAGACATACTATGTAAATCCGGTATTGTACGAGTATAGCACTGATGTTATAATGTACCAGGATAATGCCAGTACAAGTTCAATCGAGGAGGTACACACTCCTTCTGCAGAGGGGATGAAAGACCTATGGTAGCGTTCTGTTTTACAGCTGGGATGTCTCAGTCTGCCTCTGAAGGAGCTGTCCATGGTCTCCACAGTGGAATGCAGTCGGTGTTTTTTTTTTTTTTTTTAAGATGGAGGTCATCTTCCCAAGCATCCTTCAACACAGGTCTCCTCAACTGAATCCAGTGGGCAGCCCAGAACCGAGCTAGCTTTGTGAACTAACTTGTTCAGTCTCTTCCTGTCTTGGTTAGAGCTGCCTGCACCTCAACAGACCACAGCAGAGTGATAGAAGTATTTTAACAGATGACAATGAACCCCGAAGGACCTCAGCCTCCTCAGGAGGCAGAGGCGGGTTTGGCCCTTCTTATACAGAGCATCTGTGTTGTTGGACAGGTTCAGTTTGCTGTTGAGGTGAACACCCAGGTACTTAAAACTTTTCTAAAGGTCTTGCAATAAGAATAACAAGCACTGGGTGAAGATTTTTGCTTTAGTGGTTTGTTAGCTGTCTAGCATAGCTATGTGCTGTGAGGACCGCGTATGTTCACTACATAAGGTACATTTATACTTCGTAAGTTGTACCAAATAAACAAAAATATCTCAAAAACTTTACCTCAGATCTGTCATTATGTACACTTTGAGAGCAGCTGAAGAATTTCATGTCTAATATGTGTATGGTATGTAAAAGTTTGGCCATTAAAAGTCTGAAAATCGATACGATTATTTTCTGATATTAGGTCTGAATGCTGATATCGACCGATAGTAATGGTAGACCTTTAATATCAGACATCGCTAATTGCTACATAAAGGTTACGTAGGCTTGTCTCTGGCTAGTATCACAGCCCATTTATGTTTTATGAGAAGGATTATGATTCATATTTAATCCAAACATGGCAGGGAATGATCTTGTTTGAATTGGTAAATAAGCGTTGGCTTATAGGTCGGATATGATTATTATGCTAATAAACAGTTTACAGATATGTTATATTCTGTCATCACTTTCCAGATCATTCATGTGTTTTTAATCAAGTGTGAAAAAGAGATCGAACAGACTGGTGTCTCGCCAAATCTGGTCGCAGATCTAGAGCTTATTCTCAAGACTTCTACGGGATCAACTCTTCATTCAGAGGAAGAATGGATTCCGATCTTTTTCTACCATTTGGCGTCTGCCTCAGTTCTCTGATAGTCTGCACTCCTACTCACCTGTAGGTGGTGATAGTCCCGGTACGAGTGAATCTCATCCCCGGTGTCTACGTGGAACACTGAGTGCAGACACTTGGAGGGGCTAGGGTCCTTTTTAAACTCCTCCACCTGCCAGAGACACATGGAGACGAGGTAAGAGGACAGTGACACAGAAGCATATGGGTCTCATAAGAATAACAACCACAGAGTATGCTCACACATCAGTCAGGTTTAATCAACCCAACTGGTTTAAGCTGAACCTCTTACAATGAGTCCTGTTTGGTGTTCCGGGCTCGTTGGTGGCTCTGTGCGTGTGTGTTTGCTGCATCGACTCTGCTACACAGTAAATCACAGCTGGGCCACCGGCTCTTCATGCTGTTATAAATAATTGGCCTTTTGTCCCATTTTCACCTCATTTGTTTCTCTTCTCTCCACCTCTCTCACAGTCATCAGGTCTTCCAAGCCATCTCCATTTTGATTTCTAGCTGCTAATTGTTCCTCTCCTCATATATTCCACTACTTCCCACATCGGTCTCTACTGTTTGCTGTTGATCTTTTTCTGCAGACTCCATTTGTTCTTTGCTCTTTTGTTTGCTCTCTACCTTTCCCTACTCTTTCCAGTATCTCTATCCATACATAGCTAGGTCACAGTCGAGACCCTCTGTCCTACTTTCATGTTGCTCCAATTCTTGCTGTCCCACAGCGGCCAATATTCATGTTTTAGTGTGAGTGAGTGTGCAAAGGGAGTACCGCTGCCTGTGCTATTTCATAAACCTGTTTTTGTAGAGGTCTGCCTGTTTCCTTTTGCAGGAAAGCCAGCCTGTCAGTGGCCCTGCTCTAGGGGCACACCTGATGCTGCTGCTGTAATAGTTCACCTACAACTCGATATTCTTCCATCCCATCAAAACTCATCTCCTTCCCTTTCTGTTTCATTTACTGCAAATGAAATCATTTATGGAATTTAGATAGAGAGCTGTTTCAGGAAGCATCCAACTGGGAACAAAATAAAAACACAATGCTTTTAAGCCCAAATCTAGTAAAGTTTTCTACTGTTTCATTTTATTTATTTTTTTGACATTTCTGGTCTCTACACAACTACTAATTGCTCCTACTACCATACCACTACTACAAATACTTCTACTAATACTCTACTCCTACTACCACTACTGCAGCTACTCCTACTACCACTACTACAGCTACTACTACTAATACCCTACTGCTATTACCACTACTACAGCTACTATTACCCTACTGCTATTACCACTACTACAGCTACTACTACTAATACTCTACTCCTACAACCACTACTACAGCTACTACTACTAAAACTTAACTCCTACTATCACTACTACACGTACTACTACTACTACTACTACTATGCTACTCCTACTACCACTACTGCTACTAATACTTTACTCCTACTATCACTACTACAGCTACCACTACTAATACTCTACTGCTACCACCACTACTACAGCTACTAATACTAATACACTACACTTACTACCACTACTACAGCTACTACTACTAATACTGTACTCCTACTACCACTACTACAGCTACTACTACTAAAACTTTACCCCTACTATCACTACTAATACTCTACTCCTGCTACCACTACTACAGCTACTACTACCACTACTCTACTCCTACTTCCACTACTACAACTAATACTCTACTCCTACAACCAAAACTACAGCTACTACTACTAATACTCCACTACTACTACCACTACAACTGCTACTATTAATAATTCTCCACTCCTACTACCACTACTACAGCTACTACTAATAATACTCTACTCCTACTACCATTACTATAGCTACTACTAATACTCTAATCAAACTACCACTACTACAGACACTACTACTAATACTCTACTCCTACTACCACTACAACAGCTATTATTACTAATACTCTACTCCTACTACAGCTACTACTACTAATACTATACTCCTACTACCACTACTAATACTCTACTCCTGCTACCACTACAACAGCTACTATTACTAATACTCAACTCCTACTACAGCTACTACTACTAATACTATACTCCTACTACCACTACTAATACTCTACTCCTGCTACCACCACAACAGCTACAATTACTAATACTCAACTCCTACTACAGCTACTACTACTAATACTATACTCCTAATACCACTACTAATACTCTACTCCAGCTACCACTACTACAGCTACTACTACTAATACTATACTCCCAATACCACTACTAATACTCTACTCCAGCTACCACTACTACAGCTACTACTACTAATACTCGAATCCTACTAGCACTACTACAGCTAGTACTATTAATAATGTACTTCTACTACCACTACTACAGCTAGTACTATTAATAATATACTCCTACTACCACTACTACAACAAATACTCCACTCCTACTACCACTACTACAGCTACTACTAATAATACTTTACTCCTACTATTACTACTAATATTATACTCCTACTACCAGTACTACAGCTACTTCTTCTAACAGTCGACTCCTACTAGCACTACAACTGCTACTATTACTAATACTTTATGCCTACTACAGCTACTACTACTACTACTACTACTACTAATACTCCACTCCTACTACCACTACTACAGCTACTATTAATAATAATCTACTCCTACTACTACAACTAATACTCTACTCCTACTACCACTACAATAGCTAGTACTACTAATACTCTACTCTTACTACCATTACTACAGCTACTATTAATACTCTAATCAAACTACCACTAATCCATATACTACTACTAATACTCTACTCCTACTACCACAACTAATACTCTACTCCTACTACCACTACTAATACTTTACTCTTACTATTACTAATAATACTCTAATCATACTACCACTACTACAGCTGCTACTACTAATACTATACTCCTACTACCACTACTAATACTCTACTCCTGCTACCACTACTACAGCTACTACTAGTAATAATCTACTACAGCTACTACTACTAATAATCCACCCCTACTACCACAGCTAATACTACTAATACTCTACTCCTACTACCACTACAACAGCTACCATTACTAATACTCTACTCCTACTACAGCTACAACAGCTACTATTACTAATACTCTACTACTACAGCTACAACAGCTACTATTACTAATACTCTACTCCTACTACAGCTACAACAGCTACTATTACTAATACTCTACTCCTACTACAGCTACTACTACTGATACTATACTCCTACTTCCACTACTAATACTATACTCCAAACTACCATTACTAATACTCTACTCCTACTACCACTACAACAGCTATGATTACTAATACTCTACTCCTACTACAGCTACTAAACTAATACTCTACTCCTACTACCACTAATACTGATACTACTAATATTAACAATAATGCAATTAAATTAAGTAAATTAATTCCATTATTACTTCCATTGTCATTGTTATTCCAAAATAAAATGTGCAGACAGAATAAATCTTTCTTTGCCACTGCAATGTGGACTGTGTGTGTGTGTGTGTGTGTGTGTGTGTGTGTGTGTGTGTGTGTGTGTGTGTGTGTGTGTGTGTGTGTGTGTGTGTGTGTGTGTGTGTGTGTGTGTGTGTGTGTGTGTGTACTTGTTTGCTCAATGCATGAGAGGTTTACCTAACTTCAGATGGATTAAATTCAAGGAGCTATTCCTGTATTCCTGTGTGTAGATAAAAAGATCATCATGAAGACAAAATCCTTCTGTTCCTCTACAAGTCAACTAACCTGATGAGTGAATTTAAACAGTGGCTAAAAATCTATAGAAACTCTGCTTTATACTGTACTCAGTTACCTCATACACAGGTAATGTCAATAAAAAAGAGCAACTCTCTACAAGAGAAAATGATTGCCGACAGGACAGCTTTTAGGGGTTTCCAGCAGCGGTGTTACGTATTATAAATTGTATTTAACTGGACACCTTTAGGAGTGCAGTCCTAGGAGTAAGAACCAACTGGACTTGCTTAAAGATGTTTCACCTGTCATCTAAAATGCTTGTTTAGTTCTGATCACAGGATAAAGTCAAAGAGCTAGACACACATCAATGCCATGACTGGATGTGTCACTTACTATATAAAGTTCTGTGTGGACAACATCATACCCACCAGAATGGTGAGATGCCTCGCTAATAACAAACCCTGGATCACCAGTGAACCGAAAAATCTGCTAAATGAGAAAAAAAGAGCCTTCAAGGAGGAAGACAGGGAAATAATGAGGAGTATACAGAAGCACCTGAAGATCAATATCAGAGACAGCAAGGAGGCATACAGGAAGAAGCTGGAGAACAAACTACAGAGGAACAATATCAGAGATGTCTGGTCAGGGATGAAGAAGATCACAGGCTTCAAGCAGAGGAAGGATTGCACAGATGGCAGCCTGGACACAGCCAATGAACTGAACAAGTTCTTCAATAGGTTCATTTCAGGAACAAACCCAGCATCCCCCTCGCCTGTCCCCAGCCAATCAGACATCTTGTCCTCCTCTGATCCAACATTTTCCGGTCACACGCCAGCTGTTTTGTCGTCTAACGCAGTGATAGACTCTTCTGGTTCTATAAATTTGTCTTCAACCAAGTCAGGAGATGCCGCTGCCCCATTTACCTCCCCCTCCCACCTATCTGTCTCTAGAAGTCAGGTGAAGAGGCAGCTGGAGAGACCGAACAAGAACAAGGCTGCAGGTCCAGATGGTGTCAGCCCCAAAGTACTGAAGGCCTGTGCAGAGCAGCTCTGTGGGATTCTGCAGCACATCTTCAACCACAGCCTGGCCCAGGAGAAGGTTCCAGTCCTGTGGAAGACATCTTGCCTTGTTCCAGTTCCAAAGAAAACTCGTCCATCAGTCAATGATGACTACAGACCGGTTGCCCTGACATCCCACATCATGAAGGTCCTGGAGAGACTCCTGTTGGTCCACCTGAATAAGCAAACATATCAGGACCCACTGCAGTTTGCTTATCGCCGTGGAGTTGGAGTTGAAGATGCCATCATCCAGCTGCTTCAACCAATCCACTGTCATCTGGACAAAGCAGGCAGCACTGTGAGGGTCATGTTCTTTGATTTTTCCAGTGAATTTAACACAATTCAGCCTGATGTACTTTGCCAGAAACTCCAGAAGATACAGGTGGGGGCCTCAACTATCGCCTGGATTAAAGACTACCTGACAAACAGACCACAGTTTGTGAGGCTGAAGAACTGCACATCAAACCAGGTGATCAGTAACATTGGAGCACCACAGAGGACTGTACTCTCACCATTCCTTTTCACCCTGTACACCTCAGACTTCCAGTACAAATCAGAGACCTGTCATCTACAGAAATACTCAGATGACTCTGCAGTTGTGGGGTGTATCAGAGATGGACAGGAAGCTGAGTACAGAGAGCTGGTGGAACGCTTTGTGGCATGGTGTGGAAACAATCATCTGACCTTGAACGTGAACAAAACAAAGGAGATGATTTTAGACTTCAGAAGAAACAGGGTGGAGTCAAACACTGTTTCCATCATGGGAGAAGAAGTGGAGGTAGTTGAGGAATACAAATACCTTGGAGTTCACCTGGACAACAGACTGGACTGGAGAAAGAACAGCGAAGCTGTTTACAAGAAGGGACACAGCAGATTGCACTTCTTGAGGACGCTTAGGTCCTTCAATGTCTGTAGCAAGATGCTGCAGATCTTCTACAAGTCTGTTGTTGAGAGTGTAATCTCTTCAGCCATCGTCTGTTGGGGTAGCAGCATCAGAAGCAGGGACCTGAAAAGGCCTAATAAAAAAGGCTGGTTCTGTTCTGGGGACGACTGTGGAAACACAGGAGGAGATCATGCAAAGAAGGATTCTCCAGAGAATCAAGAAAATGATGGACAACCCTGAGCATTCTCTTTACAAGACTGTCCAACAACGGAAGAGTGTCTTCAGTCAGAGGCTTCTTCAGTTTCGCTGCAACACTGACCGCTACTGGAGATCCTTCCTGCCAACAGCCATTGTGATATACAACAACTCTTTGATGACTTGATTATTATTATCATTCTGAGCTACTACAGCAATCAATTTCCCTCTGGGATTAATAAAGTATTTTTGAATTTGAATTGGAATTTGTGTCCTTGGGCAAGACATTTAACCCACCCTGCCTGCTGGTGGTGGTCCGAGGGAAGGTTGGCACATGTGCTCTGCAGTCTCGCTTCCGTCAGTGCGCTCCAGGACAGCTGTGGCTACATTTTTGCTCATCACCAGCGTGTGAATGGGTGGACGAATGACTGTGTTGTGAAGCGCCTTGGGTGGGTTGTAGAACCCTAGAAGGTTCTATTCAAATACAGGCCATTTCCCATTATAACAAATAAAAGCTTGGAGTTTTTGGCTTTGCGTGTAATGAGTCTTTCTCATATATTAGTTTCACTTTTAAATTGAATTATTTAAATAAATAAAGTTTTGAACAACAATAGCCTGGTGAGTCTTGACCTGATGAGCTGCTCTTGTGTGTCGATGCATCAGGATTCACCTGAAAAGAGGTCAGCACATTTGCGCGTGCACTAAACTGCAGAAACAATGCTGCTCCGCTTGTTAGGAGGGTTTCTACCCTTAGGATCTAGAGTGATTTTTGGTTTAAAACACAACAGAATTTCTCTGCTACTCTAAACATGAATGCAATTACAACATTCTTCATCTTGTTTTTCTTTTCTCCTTCATTGAAGCGCTGAATTCCCAACCCTTGATCAGAACTGCAGAGGTCTTTTGGAGCAGGGGTGAAATGTCTTTGAGCAACAAAAGAAGCTCTGGATAAATGAGAACCTAAACCAACTTCAGGACAGCCGTTTGTAGCTCTGAACTTGTAGGTAAAAAGCTTCTCCTCACCCATATACAGAGCGTACTATTATTATATCATGAGTCAGAAAGGCAA